TGTCCGTTCATCATGGTTCTTAGGTGTGAATATTTGAAGTGTGTTTGGAAAGATGTTAGAAGGTAGAAACCACGTTTAAGCGTTTTTCTTTTCAAACATGCAAGCACCGGTAAGTGGTAAGGATCTGTTTGCAGTATAAGCTTCAGTATTGGTTTTCTGCTAAGTGACGAACGTGTGAATTATATAGTTACTAATATAACATGGCTTGTTATTAGTGATTTTGGGTTCTTAATGTATAAACACTGTCATATTCGTATTGTGCAGAAGAACTTTGTAATGAGTAATGGAAACGCAGCATATTATAATTTCTATGATTAATTAGGTCTTAAACCCCCTTTATTGTAGCCTCTATTGCAAAAAAAAAAAAACCTTCTAGTACCTCGATTCAACTACAAACTGGGGCATAAGACCCCTCTACTGCAAAAAAGGAATATCCTTTGCTATCTCGGTTGTATTCGAACCGAGGCAAAAGGATACACCTTTTGGCCTCGGTTTAGAACCAAGGCAAAATGGGGTAGACTTTTTACCTCGCTAGTATATACCTCGGTTGCGGAACCACTACCTATGGGTGAAAATAACCGTTGTCGTTTCTCTTGACTACACTAGTGATAGTTTGAAAGGCTCCAAAGGTATCATGAAGATGTGAGCATGAGGGTGAAGGGCATGGAGAGAAGTAGAGCAAGACATGATAAGTTAGCCCATTCATGATGAAGCATGGTTTTACACCAAAGAGAGGTAAAAGATTTTATGAGGAGATGAAAAACCATACACCTAAGAGAGATAAAGAGAAAATGTTTCATGAATATTGGAAAAGACATACTCAAACTATGATGAAAGAGAGAGAGATAGAGAAAAATGAAAAGATAGAAACTAAAGTTAGTAGAGAGAAAGATTTTGAAAGATGGAGTTGAGAGAGAAAGAAATTGAAGAGGAGTTGAAAGAGAAAGAAATTAAAGAAAAGGTGTTACAAGAAAAAAGAGGAACAAGAAAAGAGAGTGAACAAAAAGAAAAGAGAGAAAGAGAAGGGAAAGAAAAGCAATAGAGAGAAGAGAAAGAAAAGAAAGAACAGGGAGATAAAGAAAAGAGAGAAAATGAGGAAGAAGAAATAAAGGAGAACAAAAAGAGAGAGAAAAAGAGAAAGAAAAAACATCCTGATTTGTCATTGAAAGAAATATTAACTCATCTCGTTCTGTTTTGTTGGCAAGGAATTGTTCACCAAGAAGCAATGACATCAACAATGTGGAGAAGAAAGAATGATAATACCTAGGAAAGACTTATTTATCAATGCATCAACAATGAAAAGAAAAAAGTATGGTCAAGAATGAATACTCAAGCTTGGAAATATATGTACATAAATTAGCCNCCAATGACATCAACAATGTGGAGAAGAAAGAATGATAATACCTAGGAAAGACTTATTTATCAATGCATCAACAATGAAAAGAAAAAAGTATGGTCAAGAATGAATACTCAAGCTTGGAAATATATGTACATAAATTAGCATTTTTGTTCATTTCCAAAAAATCTATGAGCAAGGACACAAGCTTGGAAATATATGCATTTGAGTTTGTTTGTTTATCCATCCCAAATAAACCTATGAGCACTCAAAGTAATACCTAGTTTGATTGTTTGACTAGACAATATTCTTTAGCTTTTCTTTGAGCATAACATCCGTAATTTGAAATTGTTTGATATTTATTGTAGATTGATATTTAATCTTGGAGGCAAACCTCTAACCCTCTAATAATAGGAGATTTGTTTCTTTTCAAATTCCAAATCTCATTTTAGTATAATTTATATTTTGGATTATTTTATATTTTGGATTATTTTATATTTGTATCTTTGATTTATGTTTGCATACATAATCTTCTATAATTTGTGGACGAATTCTCTCTAAGAATGAAAAAATAATGATAAACTAATAATCTTTATAGGAACAAAAACTTAGAAGTTGCTTCTACAAGAAATCATCCATCCTATGAAAGGATGAGGAGAAATTTAAGAAAGAGAAAACTACTTATACCACTACCGAACCTAAGGAAAAGGAATCTTCAAGTGATACGCGACACATTCAATACAAGAAGGAGGATATGATATATGACTATCTCTTAATCCAATATAAAAGAGAAAAAATCTTCAAGAGGTATGAATTTGAAGATAAATTCTCTTCAAAAAGAAGAATAATAAAGGATAAATACAACATGAAGTATCGTAATTCAAAAGACATGAATTCATATGACTTAGAACACAATTATAAAATAAATTTTAAACAATTAAAGTGTTTCTAATTTATTTTAATTTTGTAAGCTCAACTACCTATCTCTAATTTTGTAATTTGTTTTTGAATTTTTAATTTATTTATGGATTCGACATGTTTGGGTTATTTTTGCGGCTTCTTAATGACTTAAATATTTGTACTTCAGAACATCAAATATTGTAGATTTGTAGACACTGATCATGAATATTGGTTTTCTATTGAAAAAAGATTTTCTTAATTATTGTATTAGAACTCTTAGTTTTATCAAAGTTGAATTCTTTGTAATGAATTTGACTTATCTTGTGACTTCTTTTAACTTTGATTTTCTGAGTTCTTCTATGGGTTATTTTTGTTATCTAGAAGTGTAATTTTATGTTCGTCATTTGCTTTATTTTCATATTTCTTGTTGCTTTACCTTTTCTGATGTAAGTCCGTGACTACAATGACTCTACGCTGCTGTAGCACTGCGTAGTCTCTTGGATCATGCACGCATAGAGCAAAAAAAATCCAATGAACACATAGAAAAGACAAAACAAAGAAACAAAACTCAATCACACTACCCCACTCAACTTATTCACTGGCTGATCGCGTTCGCCGCGTCCATGTACGTCTAAATGCCATGCACAGCAACACGTGGTCAACATGCACTTCAAATCGCTCACCATCTCAACCCACACACAAACGCAATGCCTCGTTCTATCTCTTCCACCATCACACTTATTTTCAATTCAACACACGTCAATCTGCATGCAATCCCGATGCCAGATGTCCATACGTGTTATCAAGAGCCCTCTCTCTTGCATATAAATACCCATAATCACTCCGTGTTTTCCCATCATTAAGTATTATTATAACTCTGCCGATATTCAGCAATACTATACTATGATGAGAGCAAGGGTTCCACTGCTACTGTTGTTGGGAATTCTCTTCCTGGCATCACTTTCTGTCTCCTTCGGCATTGTTTACCGGGAGCACCAACAGAGCCAGGACGAGTCGGATTCAAGAGGAACAAACAACCCCTTCTACTTCAACTCTGACAGGTTTCATACTCTATTCAGAAACGAATATGGCCACCTTCGTGTGCTCCAGAGGTTTGACCAACGCTCCAAACAAATTCAGAATCTTGAAAACTACCGTCTTGTAGAGTTCAAGTCCAAACCCAACACCCTCCTTCTTCCTCACCATGCTGATGCCGATTTTCTCCTAGTGGTCCTTAACGGTAAGTAATCAACTAATTGCTACTGACTGAAATTCATCATACTAGCTTCTCCTGCACGAATGATAGTAATCAATTTGTTAATTACAGGGAGAGCCGTACTAACCTTGGTGAACCCTGACGGTAGAGACTCCTACATTCTTGAGCAAGGCCATGCCCAGAAAATCCCTGCAGGAACCATTTTCTTTTTGGTTAACCCTAACGACAACGAGAATCTCAGAATAATCAAAATCGCCATACCCGTTAACAACCCTCACAGATTTCAAGTACTACCTTTTGTGATTCCCAACTAACTTTTTAAATTCTAACTTGCATTTTCTCTCTAAATGTGACGATGAATGTTTGTCCTGTAGGACTTTTTCTTATCTAGCACAGAAGCCCAACAATCCTACTTGCAAGGGTTCAGCAAGAATGTTCTAGAGGCCTCCTTCGATGTAAACAAGAACACAACATCTAATTACACATTTATTTCCATTTAGCTTGTCAAAATGTCAGTCTTCTTGAATGATATATATATATTTGCACGGTTTTTGTAGAGTGAGTTCAAGGAGATAAACAGGGTTCTGTTTGGAGAGGAGGGACAGCAACAGCAAGGCGAGGAGAGTCAGCAAGAGGGAGTGATTGTGGAACTTGAAAGAGAACAGATTCGCGAACTGATCAAACATGCGAAATCTAGTTCAAGGAGAGCCCTTTCCTCCCAAGATGAACCATTCAACCTGAGAAACCGCAAACCCATCTACTCCAACAAATTTGGAAGGTGGTATGAGATCACCCCGGAGAAAAACCCCCAACTTAGGGACTTGGACCTGTTCATCAGTTCTGTGGATATCAAAGAGGTAAAACGANCTTAACGGTAAGTAATCAACTAATTGCTACTGACTGAAATTCATCATACTAGCTTCTCCTGCACGAATGATAGTAATCAATTTGTTAATTACAGGGAGAGCCGTACTAACCTTGGTGAACCCTGACGGTAGAGACTCCTACATTCTTGAGCAAGGCCATGCCCAGAAAATCCCTGCAGGAACCATTTTCTTTTTGGTTAACCCTAACGACAACGAGAATCTCAGAATAATCAAAATCGCCATACCCGTTAACAACCCTCACAGATTTCAAGTACTACCTTTTGTGATTCCCAACTAACTTTTTAAATTCTAACTTGCATTTTCTCTCTAAATGTGACGATGAATGTTTGTCCTGTAGGACTTTTTCTTATCTAGCACAGAAGCCCAACAATCCTACTTGCAAGGGTTCAGCAAGAATGTTCTAGAGGCCTCCTTCGATGTAAACAAGAACACAACATCTAATTACACATTTATTTCCATTTAGCTTGTCAAAATGTCAGTCTTCTTGAATGATATATATATATTTGCACGGTTTTTGTAGAGTGAGTTCAAGGAGATAAACAGGGTTCTGTTTGGAGAGGAGGGACAGCAACAGCAAGGCGAGGAGAGTCAGCAAGAGGGAGTGATTGTGGAACTTGAAAGAGAACAGATTCGCGAACTGATCAAACATGCGAAATCTAGTTCAAGGAGAGCCCTTTCCTCCCAAGATGAACCATTCAACCTGAGAAACCGCAAACCCATCTACTCCAACAAATTTGGAAGGTGGTATGAGATCACCCCGGAGAAAAACCCCCAACTTAGGGACTTGGACCTGTTCATCAGTTCTGTGGATATCAAAGAGGTAAAACGAAGGAAAACGATATCAGCAATTGAGTTCTATTATTCCCTGTTGTCTTAATTATAAAATCTTAGTACCGAGGCCATAATTAAATAATGGTTTCTTTTTTAAAACTTTATTAGGGAGGCCTTCTTCTGCCACACTACAATTCTAAGGCCATAGTGATTCTGGTGATTAATGAAGGAGAAGCAAACATTGAACTTGTTGGCCAAAGAGAACAACAACAGAACAAGCTGCAAGCAGAACAAGAGGAAAGCTGGGAAGTGCAGAGGTATAGAGCTGAGTTGTCTGAAGACGATGTATTTGTAATTCCAGCAACATATCCGGTTGCCATCAACGCTACCTCCAATCTAAATTTCTTTGCTTTCGGTATCAATGCTGAGAACAACCAGAGGAACTTCCTTGCAGGTAGATTATATGATATATCTCCCTCAAATTTGAATATATGTTGTTGTTTGTTTTATGCCACATGATGATTTTGTTTATTTACTATTGTTAATTCGTGATTGAAAATTTGAAGGTGAGAAAGACAATGTGATCGGCGAGATACCTACAGAGGTGTTGGATGTGACATTCCCTGCATCTGGTGAGAAGGTTGTGAAGCTGGTAAAGAAGCAGAGCGATTCCCACTTTGTGGATGCACAGCCTGAGCAATAAATATGAAGTGAAATGAATGTATGGTGGAAGAGCTCATATATATAGAGAACGTGGAAATATGTATCGGCCATGTAACAATAAATGAGCTCCACCTCACTTGAATGAATAATCAAAGGGTTTAATTATTTTTATATATTCCTTTTCTTTATAAATACAAAGTTGAAATTTTTAATAACCGACATATCTTTCAAAAATAAAAAATTTTAATGACCAAAATGGATTAACAATTAATTAAAGTGTAAGAAAAAAACATTTTCCATAAGCATATAAATGATGCTTGTGTTTTATGTTAACTTTGTTTTCTGCTAACCTAATTTGATGGGTTGCTGGTGGGTAACAAAAAACTAAAATAAATATACTCTCACCCTAAATTATTATATTATTAAAAAAGTTAGTATTTTAATGTTATTTATTTTCTTTTATTTTAAAATTTAAATATATTATTATATGATTGAAGAATGTTCTCATATTTACT